CAAAGTCGAGGACCGAGGTCGGCTCAGTGACGGGTGCGCAGGCCGCGACCCCACTAGGACAACCCTGACGCCCAAGGGAGTCAGCTAAGTTTTAACAGAACAATGAACACAGTAGGAGGACTTGGAGTCTCTCACCACATGGAAATCTGCAGATCCTCCTCCTCGCAGCGCGGAAGGTTCTGACAAAATGCTAAAATGGCGGCGGCCACAGCAGTGACTCTGGGTAGAAAGGGGGGTGAACCTACCACCGGATTGGACGCTCGGTAAAGTTAAAGGCTGGCGTTCCCGGCGATCCTCTTCCTGATTGGTTACCGCGAACGCCAATTACCTGAGAGGCCAGGAAGAGGTGGAAACGTCAGTAATCCGGAGCTTTTATACGAAAGCCAATGAGTACCCAGCCTAGTGAAACCGAAGCCACTGATTGGGCAAAAGGTCCATGTGCGGGAGGAGCTACAAACGTGGATTTCTTCGAAGTGCGGCCCGCCATTAGGCAGAATAAGCAAGAGCCTCAGTGTAGCATTTAGTAGCTTCATGGCCCCAACTTCGTTAAATTTTCATATTCCACCATTTCCACGTGCACACCGTAACAGTACTCAGTCCTATGTTCCAAGATTTCGCATCCCCTCTCAACTGAACGCCACTACACCCCGCACCATGGATGCTGCATCCGTCCAGTTTACACAGACCTTGGTCCAGCCTACATAGAACTCCGGCAATAAATAGCCAAGCGCCCGCCCCTACTTAAAATCAACCTCCACCTTGGGCAGTTTCCACTTTACCCTCCTGAGTCCCATAGCTACCCAGAAATTAAAACTAGGTAGTTGAAGAACTCTCAAACAGTCTGTAGATCCAGCTTCAATTACGGTGTAATGACCCAGAAATGAGCGGCCTGAGACCTATGAGGCACTGGCGTTAACGATCCCTCTAGGTCACTGCCTCCCACCGCCCCAAAAGGGTGTGTAAACATGAAAATTGACAACTGACCCCCACCCCAACCTCACCCCACCAAGAGAAAGAGAAAAAAAGCAACAAAAACCAAAAGCACAAAAACGGGAACAGCAAACGTTTGGTTTCGTTTTGTTTTATTGGGTGCCATTAACCAGAGCTTTAAATTAAAACTCCCTAGAACTGACCTTAGAAGAAAAGGCTTAGTCACAATCAGCTGTAAATAAGTACAAACGAACATTCTTCACAGGGTCCAATTCCCTCATCACATTTTCTCACCCACTGGCTGCTTCACATAATCCCATACTCAATGAGCAAGCAACTTTAGTCATGACCCTTTGCAAAGCAGAGTTTGAAGATGGGGATAAAAGGGAAAGTTGCTGAATGGATAACTTAAACACGAATAGGCGGAAAGCAGGAGAATTTTATGAGAAAGAATGATCCAGGAGTGAGATAACACAAACTGCATACTACCACCCAACACACACACATACATACATACATACACGCACGCACGCACGCACGCACGCACGCACACTTTAAAACAAAAAGTAGAAGACAGAAAATAAGCCTAACTCAGGAGCAGAAAATCAGTCAATAATTTAAGTATGGGAAAAGTTTTTGTTGTTGATTTAAGGATTTATTTATTTATTTAATGTTCTGCCTGCAGGCCAGAAGAGGGCACCAGATCTCATTACAGATGGTTGTGAACCACCATGTGGTTGCTGGGAATTGAACTCAGGACCTCTGGAAAAACAGCCAGTGCTCTTAAACTGAGCCATCTCTCCAGCGTAGGCAAAAATTATCTTTAAAAAGGCATGTTGGTGACCTATGCCTTTAATCCCAGCACTCAGGAGGCAGATGCAGGAGGATCTCTGTGAGTTCGAGGCCAGCCTGGTCTACAAATTTCCAGGACAACCTCCAAAGCAATACAGAGAAACCCTGTCTTGAAAAACAAAAAACAAAAGTTAAAATATACCCGCCTCAATGAGATGATGGGACAGACTTACTAGACTTCCTAGGGAAGACCTTACCCTCTCTGAGGAGCACATGGAAGATAGGGTGGGGAAGTGGGGGGAGCAGGAGAGGACAGAGGGGGAACCAGGATTAGAATGTAAAAAAATAATAAAGAGGGGGAATGTTAAAAAAATTAAAAATAAAATAAAAATAAAAAAGTTAAAATATAGACAGCTCCTGGCTTTAATCCCAGCACTTGGGAGGCAGAACCAGGTGAGTTCTAGGCAACCCAGATTGAGTTCCAGGACAACCTCCAAAGCAATACAGAGAAACAATGTCTCAAAAAACAAAAACAAAACAAAAGAAGTCAAAATATGACATTAAATAATTAAATACAACCATGGTTCCTTTCACTCTGATGTACTTGAGACTAAGTAAAGGTCACCTGAGTACAGCAATGTCTCAAAAAACAAAAACAAAACAAAAGAAGTCAAAATATGACATTATTAAATACAACCATGGTTCCTTTCACTCTGATGTACTTGAGACTAAGTAAAGGTCACCTGAGTACAGCAATCAATATAACCAATTCTACTGTCCCTCACTGGACCTTTCTAAGGAGGTCTAACACTACCTTACCATGACTCATATGTATCCAGAAATGTGTATGTTATAGAAATCCTTTTCTCTCAGTTCAATCTTCTAGGTTTTCTTATGGCAAAATCCCTGAAAATAACTTGCTAAAGCATACAAGACCAATTCATTTACTAACTAGCATCTCTACAGGTCCAAAGGTAGAGACTGGTAACAATTCACGGCAGAAGGCAGACATTAAGACTACCAGACCTCACCCTATAACTAACCTCCAAATCGAAATCATCTCCTTAGTTTTTGAAAACTATTAGTTGACTAGGCAATACTAGTACATGAGAGGCAGAGGCAGTTGAGTCTCTGAAAGTTCAATGCCAGCCTGGTCTACATTGCAAGTATTCAAACTTCTTCATGGCCTAACAATCTACCCAACCAGGTTCTCACTACATTCTCAGATTGATCAGCCCTCCAGATAAAGACTGGTTTTTATCGTCCCTAGCTATTCAGAACAGAAAATTCTTTCTTCATATCTTTTACTAGCCACTCCATCTAAAGGCATGGACTCCAACTTTTAACGCATCACTTCATGCTACTTTTGAAATAATTACTATCACTTGAAACTCTATCTTGTTCATTTTTCCATATTATATACCCTCAATGTTGGAACTACTCTGGTAACATGAAAGACACTCAAATATTTGTCAACTAAGAAACTAATACATGAGATAACTTATCATGTTAAGATCTTGGGACACAGGTATGCTAGCTGGAGAGGTATATGCTCAACGATAAGAGCCTAACATGTGTGAAGTCCTTAGTTTAGAATCCCAGTACTTCAAGAAAAAAAAGTTACCAGTACTGTTGTTAAGCATATACCCTTATTCTTATCATTAACTATAATAAAGTTCCAACTTCTTTCAAAACAAAATGTGGTAATCAAGTTATCTTAACTTTGACAAAAGCAAAATGAAGCCTTAGGTAAAGAGATAAACTATAAATCAAGTGTCTTCATATTGATGTCTATTTAACCACAGCCTACTCACAGATACAGGAACTTGGTGTTTTTCCTTAAAAAAAAAAAAAAATTAAGGCACCTAATTCAATCTACCTTATCTATAATCACACCTTCAGAAGCACTTTCACTGCCTGAGCCATCTCACTATCCTGGAATACTATTTTTAAATCATCTTGTCTGTCAGGACTAGGGAATGTAGTTGTCATAGAATACCAGCCTAGCAAGAAGGTCCTGGGTTCACTCCCCAGTAAAATAACAAAACATTCTCAGCCTTTATAGTGCTAGAATTATAGCCTCAAGTCAACATATCCGTCTAATAATTTACACTTCTAGTAAATAACTGGTCCCTGGTCCAAAAATGAGTTACAAGTTGACAAAGGTTCAGCTTAAAAACCAATATCCTTCAAGGATGTTCCTAGAAAGCCAATAGGCTAACTGAAACCAAGTGTGCCCGCTCCAAACCCACTGTCAGCTGTACTATTTCTACCCCCCTACATTCAGACTTCTTTTATTTTCCATAAACAACAATGAGATCCTTGAACACAAAATAGCGTCGCCAGAGACTGGGGGTGGGGTGGGGAGGAGTG